GGTCTCTCTCTCTCTCTCTCTCTCTCTCTCTCTCTCTCCCCTTCTCGTCCTTCTCTCTCTCTCTTCTCCCTTTTTCCTTTCTCTCTCTCTCTCTCTCTTTTTCTCTCTCTCTCTCTCTCTCCCTCTCTCTCACGACAACAAATGAGGACAGCTCACGCGCGTTCACACAACGCGCTTTCGCTTCGGTCGGACAATTCGGTCGTGCCAACCAACGAATTCACTACTGCAATGGAATTTCCGCTCTTCTAACAAATTTTTCACTCCTCGAACGCAATTTTCTTTACTGGAACAAATCTTAGTTGGGCCAAAGCATCGGTTGGACCAACTCATTTTTTTTTCATGTGGTGTGAGACGGTCTTCCTCTTGGATTTGCGGTGCAGTGGCCACTCAAACATGGTTTGGTTGACCAGTGTACCGGGCGAGAGGGTGCCTGTCGCCACGCAACAGGCGCCATTGACCCCAACCTCTCGGAGCCGCTCCGGTTTGAGGTACCGAGTATCGAGGTCGTGGCACAAGACCTGCGAAAGGGGAGCCGAGCCGAGCCGTCCAAGCCGAGCCGAGCCGAGCCGATCCGTGTCGAGCCGAGCCGGCCGGAGATGCCCCCCGGAGATGTCGCTTCTTGGAAGGCTCCACAAAGCAACACTGTCGCACGGCGACCGGGGTGCAAATCGAAAAACGACGGTGAGCCGTGCCGACTTGGTTTCGTTTACCTCGGCTCTCCTTTCAGCATCTGCAGACATAACCCCCGACTTTCACCAACAAAGGGGGTACATGTTTGTCCGACCGACGTTTGTCCACCTGCCGAAAAATTTTTCCGACCTCCTTTTCCCTTAAATTTTTGTCCCACCGGGTTTTTCCGATCGACGTTTTTCCGATCACTTTTCAGGGAAGGGGAGGGGGAGAGGGAAATATTCCACGACGTCATGACTGATTGGTCGTCAGGATGGACAAGTAAAAAAGAACACTATAAAAAAATTTCAGCGAAAGAGGGCACCCCGGCGAACCGGCCCTCTTCCCCCCTGGCTTGGTGACCCGTGGTTCCCCCATCTCATCACAGGAGCAACCTCAGAGTTTAAAACCCCAGTGGCCCCGTCTTGGTCACTCATCTGTGATGTGGAGGAGTCCTCTCATAGTAGGCCGGCTGCCACCTTTCCAGTAGTCGGGTTTCGTTCCCGGCCCCCTTCCCCCTCAGGGGCCATGCTACTGGTACTCAGGAGTCTGCGTCACCCTGCCCAGCAGCGGAAAACCCCGGGCTATGAGAGGCCCCTGGACGCCGCCGATTTTTTATACTTGAACCGCCTTCTTGCGATGCAAGCTTGGTCAAAATATTGTAGTCGGTATCGAACCCCGGACCCCGCAGTTGGAACCGACGCCTCTGCGCTCTCGGCCACCCGGCCCTGGTGACGTGGCGAAGGGAGCCTTTGAAGCCGCTGGTCCGAACCGTATAGTCAGACAAAAAAAGCGGAGCGGGGATTCGATCGCTCGATCCGGTTAGGATTAAAAATCTCACACTTCGGGCCCCCGGGCTCCCGGGGAGCCGATTGGGGCACGGTCCAAACGGACGGAAAGCCACTCCCAAAATGTAAGAATTGTGGGGGTCGAACCCTAGCTGCGTGCAAGCTTTGGCAAATTCCACTTACTGGGTTC